ACAACTAATGAAAGAAAACCAACAAAGATAGCTATTGCTTTTATTTATAATAAGACACAAATCAGGTGTCACCCTAGCAAACCTGTACTTATCTTATTTTTAGTTCCAGGGGATTTTTTTATATAAAGTTAATTTCAGGTCCTGAAAGAAAAAAGCGCTCTCATGTAACAATAGCGGTATAGCATACATCGAAAAGAAACATTTGTATAAGACCACGTCCGTCAGCGACCGACTTTACGCTTCTATATAAATTTTCACTAATCTGTCAAATAATGACGAAAAAGCTAAATGATATTTAGCTAGGAATTCTATTTCGTTAAAGTGTAGTCCCCTTGAAAGTCATCGGGGGGGAGGGTGGAAGTGGTAGAGAGGGCTGCGCAAGCAGAAAAGCGAGCGTAAGCGAGCATTTGATGCTTGTTTATAATAAAAGAATAATAATAATAATAATTTAAACTCATTTCTAGAGCTCATTCTTTTAAGAACTAACTTTTAGAGTCTTTTTATCTAAGATCTCAGATGTCTCTTAACACTATTTTAATATCTGAGATATCTTTTTTAAGATAATGTTTAAGATTTTATTCTTAAGTTCATTCTGAGATTAAACTCATGCATGTTAATCACAGCAGAGCTCATGCTAAACAGTCTCATAATCTGTAGACTACTGAGGTAAAAGAGCTCAGTCATCACTAGCACACTGCTGATAGAACAGCCGATCAACCCGGGACTCTCAACAGATTGAATGCCAGAAGGGGATGTTTCTGTCTCTTATTCATTTATGTTGTTTTCTGTTGTTTTGTTTCAAGCTGAGTATTCATTTTCCATTTGCTTATTTCTGCATGAAAAGAGCTTGAATAGTTAACAGTATATGCTGTAATAAATAATAATAATAATAATAATAATAATAATCATACTCTTCTGATATGTTCTAATCTTTCTATCTTCCCTTTATTATTCAGAGTACCTTTTTAAAATCTGCAATAATAAGAAAATGAAATAAAAATGAAATCTGAAATGCCCTGCTTGTCATTCATTGTCGGGAGATCTCCTCCTCTCCCTTCTCCCGCTTTTTGAATATTTTCATTTCTTTTTTGCAACCTAGTCTAGCGGATTTAGCCATTTTCATTGAACGATGGGATATTTCCTTGTATCTCTGCGGTAGCACAGCGTAAGTAGGAATAAAAGAAAAGAGAAGAAGAGAAGAGTGTCTGTCTGTTTAGTCGGTTTTGTTCGCCGTCGTCTGCCCCTCCTCACAGCAAGCGGGTTTGTCCGCCATCACCAGTACGATAAACACCCCCATCCCCCGTCCGCAGATAGAGAGAGAGACAGAGAGTGTGTGTGTGTGTGTGTGTGTGTGTGGAGAGTAACTATGCTGGCTGGCAAGGTCATTGACACATCACAGCAGCCTCATCGCATCGTCATCGTCGTCGTTCGGGTTCTGTCCAGCGACTGAGCTCGTCTTAGTAACAAACCTCAATCAATCGAGCCTCAACCTCTCCCCTCTGGGTCTCTCTGCCAACTCTCGGCCAACTCTCGCCCTCGCCTACTACCAACAGCTCGAGGAACCAGGTCCAGGAACGCAGTCAAGGAACCACCCTCCTCCTCTCCCTCCTCTCCTCCTCCAGAGCATGTACACGCTCAAGCAAGACCGCCCGCATCCCGTCCCGCCACCACCTCCTCTCACCATGGATCACCTCCAGCATGGCTATTCCACCGCAAACCCCGTTACTCTGCCTGGTATCCCAGAGGCTGCCAGAGCGGTTTCCACGGTTTACGAAGGCCGCATTTACTCCCTCGATGTCGTCCAGCAGCCCATCCGCGCGAGAATGTGCGGCTTTGGAGATAAGGTCCGTGCTGCCGTTGGCCCTCTTCCCCTCCTCCTCCGCTCCCCTCCCCCCGATACCCCCCGGCGGCTGTTGCACAACTGAACCCCATACCTCCTCCTCCCAGCTTCTCTGCTATTTTTGCGCGCAGATATATCTATCGACTTCTTATCCCACCGAAAACCCTGTTTAATCAAGTCAACTAAGGTTCCGTCTGACATATAGGACCGAAGACCAATTACTCCCCCGCCCTGTATAAGACTGATAGTCCGTGATGCTTCGACCCAGAAGGAAATTGATATTAAGTGTGTATTTCCTTGGCCCAGTCCTCCCAGCTTGGATATATATATAACCATTTGACACCGTTCTGATACATTTGCCCCCCTCCCCCCACCACCTCTGCAGCGAAATCGACACCTCATTCTACGTCCTGACCGTCGACCTATGGAATGCTGAGGGGACTAGCGAGGTCAACCTCGTCCGACACTCGGCTACCTCTCCGTCCATCTCCACCGCTACCTCTTCTGCCTACCCTCCTCCCCAGAACATCATGCCCTTCCCCCATTACGCCCAGCCCCATGGCTACCCCCAAAGCGCATACCAACCCTATTACGGTGGACAGCCAGGCTACAATCCCCATGCCGGTTACCAATACCCGCATGGCGCTCCCGACCCATACTACCAGGCCCTCCCGCCCGCAGGCGCATACTACCCTACCGGCACGCCCGCACAGCCCCTTGCGCCGCAGTCAGCGCTGGGCCCGCACATTTCCACTGCGTCCACGGGCATGTTCACCCGCAACCTGATCGGCAGCCTGAGTGCCAGTGCCTTCCGCCTGACAGACCCAGATGACAAAATTGGTGTTTGGTTCGTCCTGCAAGACCTCAGCGTCCGCACGGAGGGCTCGTTCCGGTATGTTGTTCCTCTCTATTACTGGATTCTATATATAGACGTCCCCTAGTCCCTTTCTCTCATGCCCCACTAACTAACACCAACCACCATCTCAGCCTAAAAATGAACTTTGTAAACGTCGGTACCCAAAGCCAGGCCCAGGACCAATCCCCCGGCGGCACCCCGTCCAGCCCCGTCATCAACGTCGGCTCCGCACCTGTACTGGCGTCTGTCTTCTCTGATGTCTTCCAGGTGTACTCGGCCAAGAAGTTCCCCGGCGTCATCGAGAGCACGCCACTGAGCAAGTGTTTTGCGTTCCAGGGTATTAAGATTCCTATTCGCAAGGATGGGGTCAAGGGTCCGCGTGGTGGGGGGCAGTCGCACAGTGCGAAGGGGCCTGATGGGGAGGGGGAAGAGTGGGCGGATGAGGGATGACCGTAGTCATTTCTCATTTCATTTCGTTTCCTCTGTTTTTTTTTCCCTTTTCTTGTTTTGTTTTCGTTGTTGGTTCATTTTCGGGAACGGCGTTGCAGAATGGAACCCATACACTTTTTCACATACTTTCTTTGCTTGTGCTTGCTTCTCCCTCCTTTTTTTTCCCTCGGGAGTCAAAATGTCCGGTATGATGTATGGTGTCCTTCCTCGCTAATGTTCCCCCCCCCCCTTTCTCCCCCCCTTTTTTTTTCTTCTTTTTTTCTGGCCCTGGCCCTGGGCTCTACGGGATGTTGTTTGTTCTCTTACCTCTTTTCTTGCTTACCCCGAAGTAATATTTCTGAGGATTGGATGAACCGGGATGGGTTACGGTTATTTAATTTTGATACTGGTGTACGTGTTTTATGCTGCGCCCGTGCGCGCATGCTTCCCTATTCCCTTTTCCCTTTTTTTCCACTTTTTTTCTTCCCTTGTCCTCTTTTTGCTTTTCTTTCTTCTTTCTTCTTCTTCTTCTTCTTTTTTTTTTTTTTTTTTTTTTTTTTTTTTTTTTTTTTTTTTTTTTTTTTTGTTTTGTTTTCTTACCCCTTTTATTTACCCTTTCTTATTTATATATTTCACTATGGACCCTGCGTGGTGGCGGATTCCTTTGATCCGCACTTTCTCTCATTAAAAAAACTTTTTAACTAAAATGAATACAACAGAGGCTGTCAATTCATCAGGCTTGTTTGGGGATTATGGTTGTATTTTTGTGATTGGATTTGATAGTTGATGCTGATGAGATGCAGAAATGGGAACACTACAGCGTAAGTAAATGAACGAGCAAGGTGCTGACTGAGGCTGGCATTGGCACTGATACCGGTTCCACCATATTGTATGTACGTGCACATGTACTGAGACCCTGGCGGGGATGGGGGATAGACAGGTCTTTGTAATGCCTATCTCAGCTTGTCCTGTCTTTGTCGCTATACGGGAAAAGGGGGATGTGATTTCTTTTTCCTTTTCCTTTTTTTTTGGTCCCATCTTTCGGTTTCTTTTCAGTGTGAATTGATTGATTGGTTGATTGCTTGATGGTTTACATGATTCTCTCTGAGTTTGATAGAGTTGGCGTTGGGAGGGCATAGCTTGAGCGTTTACGACGATTTTTTTTACCGGAGAAGAGGTTATTTAACGCACCATTAATGAGAACTGGTTTAATGCTAATTAGCTAGTTATAGAAAGTGCATTATATATAGTTAACTAGTTACTCCGTAAATGGTCGGAGTTATAGGACTAATGGGGGTGTTAAAAATAGGTATATCGCAAACCTTGTTTCTGCCCGTAAGTTAACCATGGGATTGAAGCAATCCCGCGGGCCATGCTAACAACAACACAAACCTCTGCTCCTAACCCCGCCCTGCCGCCTCCCCCATCCATCCTCCGCTCAATCCTCCGCTCCTATCCCTACCAAGACATCTATGAACTACACTTGACCCGCACTAGCCCCAACTCAAAAGAACTACGGAGCGGAGTACAGTACAAACAAAGAATGGCAGACCACAGACCAATATCCACCGGCCGCGGCGGCGCAGGTATGCACAGTAGCGCAGCTCCCCAGTTCCTGCTTAAGTGCTAAAAATAGCGCTACTCTTCTACTCTGCCTGTGTAATGCCTGTTTTAATGAACCCCACCGCGTATCTACCCCATGTGTAGGAAACTTGGTCTCCGTCTCCACGCCGGGAGCAGAGACAGGAACAGCCAGAGCAGGAGCAGAAAAAAACAGTCGCATCCCGAACCCCCGCAGACCTCGTCACTCCAACTATCAATTCGGATGTATATACAACTGGCCGTGGCGGGTCGGGGAATATGGTTGCCAACGACGATCCAGCCATCGCGCGTAAGGCGCAGGATGTAGAGGTGGATGTGGAGGGGTTAGAGGAGTGGATGGGGATGGGGACGGGGACGGGGATGGTGATGGGGATAGGGATGAAAGGTGGGGAGAAGGTTCTTTTTGGGAGGGGTGAGTTGTACTGAGCTTTTGTTCTGTACTTTATATTATTATCTATTGCTAACATGGGTAGGTGGTGCGGCGAATATATATGACGCCTCCACGAGGCCCGATGGCAATAAGAATACCCAATGATAATTTGAATTGGATCGTGCGGAACGGGTTTTTGAGAGAGGGGTCCGGAGGTTTTCGTGTCATAGAAAGGGGCTGGAATGGGGATATGTCCTCCTCTCCAGGACGAGTTTTGAGACACTGATGGATCCACTCTTCACATATAGCTCTGCATCAAGCACCAATAACCCGGGACATGATCACGCCATATTCCACCAAACCCTTCAATGTCTCGCCGCCAGCCCCTGTGACGCTCCACCGTAACAGCCGCCCAGTTCAGCAGCTGGCAGCCAGCCTGAACCATCCGCTTATGGGCGGCTTCTCGGGTGTGTTCTGCAAAAGTGCCAGATGCGTCTGTGATGACGAAAACGTCCGTGCCCTTACTCGATCAGGCTCAGAGCGCGTCTTTTTTTAATGAGCACTCTTTCAACGGGTGTTCAGGTACTGACTGGTACTTTATAACAACCTGCTTCCTCCCGGTGTCCTTGATAGCCTTGACGAAATCCTCATTATCCATCGCATTGATCTGGCCGGGGCGTCGGATCAGGGGCCCCCCGGGGGGGGGGAGGGGGGGGGGGCGCGTTTCTAGAATCTCCTTGGCAATGGGGCCGTTTGGGCCGGTTTCGAGCGATGTGGCCAGGACGGAGGGTACTTGAAAGTAGCTAACAACTCTTGCTAGAGCTAGGATATTTGTGTGGAATTCATGGGGGTCAAAGTCGTGGACTAGCTGGATGAGGCCGGACTGGTTGGATTTGTTTTTTGAGAGCGGATTGTTAGTATTGGAACATAATAAGCTGGTATTTACGTGATGTACGGAGCGTAGGTAGGAAATTGTGGAAGAATCAAACATTGTGTGTATTTTAATCTAGCTCTCAAGGTTCTCTCTTAATATAGAATGTGGGACAGATGACTGCAGTAGCTGGAGCAACATAAATATATAGAAACACGCAATGCAATTGTCTCTGTCAAGTTTTTTATAGGTAGCAGGCATATATACCAGGGTGCCTGACAGTTTTTGATGAAAAGCTAAGATACTGAATTAGATACTCCGTAGCATGTAGAATAGATAGCCTATTATTGGCTCTGGTAGACGCCCCAATCTGAATCTGCCGCGCACACGAGGTTATCGACACAGAGGCTAAATTTGTCATGAAGTCATTTTTACGACATTGATCCCGGGCAAAAATAAGTGGCATAAATTGTATTCATGATTGTAGCGAAAGGTGAAAAATATTTTAGATCCATGGGTCCTACCTATGTAACCTTGAAATAAGAAATGGTTCTTGATTTGATTGGCCTTAGTTGGATCCATCTGAGAAGACCTCATCTTCTATTAATAAAAACTAAGTTAACTTTCTCGGTGCGAGCCAATCCCGAGATATGATGGGTTCTTAAACGTGCTTGCTACTCCACTCCTGTAGGGCAATTTTGGTGCATAGTTCTATATCTAGATCTAGAAATTACCCAGGATACCTTCACATGTAGTTATATACAGTATTCCCTTCTACTAACTTGTTAAACCTACGTGCATTGAAGGGTGAATGGCCCTTCTATATCAATACCACCAAATTTAGCTGTGTTAGAGAAAGAAAATTGGCTTTTTAGTACAAAGGGAAATCCTTATTTGATTTCTCCTCCATCTGTCAAGAATTGTTTGTGATACCGCTTGTCGAGAATGGCGTGTAAAGTGACGCAAGACATAGGTAGACATTGGCAAGGGAGCCTGTGTTGGGAACCCAAAGAGCAAATAAGGGATGTCAATCAGCACTTTGAAACCAGACCGAGTGGACAGAAGATTGAACGTGCTAGGTGTAGAACATCGGGGCAAAGGAGCTCGATCACCACCAGTCTCTATGGAGTACCGTCTCTAATGGTGACTAGCGAATCGGCTTTCTTAAAGAAGATCCATAACCTCGGGAATTCAACTGATTGTGGGCTTTCGACCAATTGATGTCGTAAGAGTAGATATAATCGTTTCTCATGATTGATTTTGTAGGAAGATCCATCATTCATCTTGTATGTATTATAATCTTATAATCTAGCTGGCGAGGTTCTCTATATATATAGAGTTACGCTGTAGAGACTGTGACTGCAGTAGCCGGGGTAATTCCAACAGATTTCAATGATTGTCAGGGCTTTCTTAAGCCATCCGCTCTCCAAATCTCGCGCTAAAGCAAGATCAAACAATGACTGCGAATACGTCTAGTCCAAGATTAGCTTAGGGGAATGGACTTTATTGACCGGCGCTGGGAGCATGTTAGGTCTTTGGCGAAGAGACCATCTGCCGGGTTTAGATCTCCCTCTGGAAAAATAGCTAGAACTAGTTATATCATACATATCTGGACTCTGCAGAGGTGTAGCCTTGCTCCTTGCGCTGTCAACTCTGGATTCTGTACGGATTTCGCAGAGCTGAGGCTATTCGGTCGGTGACTGCCTAGGTATTGGTCGAGAGAATGGCAGTATTTAGTTCATATTTGTATACTTGTATCCTCTGGATAGGGATGTGCTTGTGCTCCATACGCTGTAGTGGTTGGCAGAAGGTTGAGGTTTGAAATGGCTTATTTAAAATAACACGATCTTTCCTTATTTCGGCAATCAAATATTTCAGCTCTAACCAAGATCCATTTCGCCAGCTTGAACCAGCTCAGTTTCTCCAAAACCCGTGTTTGAATCTTATCCTCTTGTTACAGATTTCGTAGGCCTACATGATTACTTTAATTCAGAGGGAAGATTCATAATTTATATAAATACGCACGTCCGCCCTTCCGGTTCTTCCGTAAAAAGTCCCCGCCCACCCCACTGGATATCATCATCTAGCTCAGTTTACCATTATTGATATCGCCATCGTTATCCTCCCTCCGGGTGCTGCCACAATGAGGACTGCCTCGCTCCCGCTAGAATCTCTTCTTGGTACCAAACATCCTCTTCAGCGGTTGCATTCGCCCTCCCGCGGAGTTTCTGCCCTAGTACATGTCAGTGACAGATCTGTCTTGATACCTAGCTGCTTTCGCTTCCTATCTATGTTGCTATCGCAACATAGCTACATCACTATAACTAGCTACTGTTACAGTGTATACCGAATGCTTACGTTCTATTTGATTCCTAGTTAGCTGCACTAGTGAGCTTCGCTCTGTCGTTCAAATAGTAAGTGGTTGTGATGTCTTTGAACGGATGTATATTTTACATCCGATCATATGCCGCATTTTATACCATGGTTATTTATATCCCTTCCTCGGTTTTCCGCCATCTCATTGATTATTCTGTGGTTTAATGATGCCATAGCATGACCGACCACCCGAATCTAGCGTAAGTAGAACATATCCCAAGTACAAATATTGGAATGAATCAGTGCATTTCAGGAACTCCGCTGATTAAATTTGATTCACAGAAGCGAGGCTTACGGATGGCATTTCCAGTACTTGACTATCATCGGTCTATGTATGGCTACATTGACAAACCTGGCGGGCCTGGCTGCAGACATTTTTCTGTCAACGCGCCTGTTTGCTGTTAAGAATGTGCTTCTGGTTTGCAGCGCGCCAATGGAAGTGCTGATTAGTATTTTATATTGGGGCTTGAGAATCGTAAGCTTCTCACTGACAATCTTGCTTGATGGCGGGGGGGGGGGGAAATGATATACATACTTGGTCTAACAATGCATCAATTCCAGATTGATACCAAGCTGGTAAAGCCTGATTGGGTGGAATTATCTTTGGAGGCAGGTAAGGCTCCCCGGCTGTATTTTCCTTGATGGGATCGGGCGGACAGAACTGAACATCAGAAGACTAACGCAATCGATTCGGTTATAGATATTGGCTTGCATGCTATCCCAGCTATAGTATTGGCGATTGATCTGCTGTACCTATCACCGCCTTGGTCTATCGGGGCTCTCCCATCCATGGGATTGGCCAGCGTCATCGCGTTTGGCTACTGGTTTTGGGTGGAGAAGTGCTACCAATATAACGGATGGTATGCGTTTCGCCATCTATTCTTTACTAAGTGAAATTCGAACTAACTCTATAACCCCATCAGGTACCCTTACCCGATTTTCGAAAAGCTCACTACCGGCTGGCGAATTGTTCTTTTCCTGTTCAGTGCTACCTTGATGACCATAAATACCTTGCTATTGAAGCGCCTGCACGGGCAGATGAATGGTTTTCTCCACCCTGCTTCAGGTGCACGCCCAAGTGATTTAAAGCGGGCCTAAAAAACTCTACGTCATTTGAAAATATACCGCTCAACATGGATATGACCAAATGATCTCGCGTTACATGTCATGATGACCTGGTCCAATTGGCTGGATAGCGGACGTTCTTTTTTCCCCTTTGATTTATATTAGCGAGCGCGCACTGGGGGATTACCTAGGAGTTTATTTGTTGCAATTTTAGAACCTGAGGAGGACAGAACGAATTTCGGAAACACCGAGCACATAGATATAGATGCTCTGATGACGAATTTGCATGTTTCCTAAAGATACTACTTTTTTTTCGTGATTGCTTGGGATGTGAAAGGTGGCAATTAACGAATCTACCAAGACATACTCCATCGAGATACAGAACATGAATATTCATTTCTCGAATAAACTACAGAGTATCATACAATCCATTGTTCCTGCTCTGGTTATCCATGCCAAGATATTGGCACGCCGAGGCTAGTGCATGCTTATGTAATGGTCATATCAAAACCAGCACTACCTTCTATCCAAAAGACTTCTTAGGAACCCACCGATGAGCAACAACACAGCGCCATAAAACAAAAAGAGACATATACAGATACAGATACACGAACGATCATTGTACACTCCCACAGAATGCATCTCACCGTGATAAACGGTCCCTTCCGAACTGCGGTCCTGGGCAGCAGGATCCCATGCAGCCTTAGCCCGTTCATCCTATCCAACACCTCCAACACCACCAACACCACCGGGGCTTCCTCCAGTAGCTCATCGTTCCCCGCGCTACACCAGCAATGCAAATATAGCACTGCCCGCTCCCCAAGAGCTCAACTGCAACAGCAGCAGAAGCGCCATGCCAGCACTAGATGCAGTGGACAATCGCTCTTCAAGTTTCAGCAAAATCCAATCTCGCGGATCCCAGACCGTTCCACCTCCGCCCTAAATCCCAACTCCGCCGCCGCCAATACCACCACTTCCCTCCGCGCTACCACCACCCGTAAATCCTCCACACAAGCCCCTTCCTCTTCATCGGGATCGTCCGCAAGCAGCTCGTCTGCTCATAGCAGTACATCCCCCTACGACTTGCCTCTCGATTGGAACTCTTTCTTCCGCCTCCGGGCTTCTCGCCGCAAATACTCGCTCGTCTCATCCATCATAGCTTCCGTATTCAGTACTGCAGGTGGCGTGCAGGTGCTTGCAGCGAATAATATGGATACCATAGGTGCGCAGGCTTTGGGTCTTGATCCGTTCATTGTCCTGGGACTGGCGACGGCGTCGTGCGCGGCGCTGGGATGGCTGCTTGGTCCAATATTGGGCAATTCGCTCTGGGGTCTTGTGCATAGAAAATACAAGGCGTCGGTTGCAGTGGTACGTTTTCTTGTCCCTTGCCCTGTTGCTCTCCCCGTTTTTTCACCCTCCTCTACGCTTTTCCTTTTTTCACCCCCTCTCACCTATATGCCCCATCGATTAATTTTGCCGTGGACTCCTTACTGATAGTTGATGTCCCTTTTCACCTTTATAGAAAGAAAAAGAGTTCTACAGCAGGATAAAGCGATTCCGCGTTGACCCCTCTGCCAATTCGTACTCCAACCCGGTCCCCGATTACTACGGAGAAAAGATCGGCAGCATCCAGGGCTACCGCCAATGGCTGAAGGATCAGCGTGCCTTCAATCGAAAGAAGCGAAACTTCCTCTGAATGGAAGAGTAGAATGAAATCCTAGGGAATATGTAAAAGGGGGGAACACAAACCTAGAATATTGTGCGTACCTTGCTTCGGCTAGGGTTGTTGGGCTTTGGATTTAGGATTTTTGGGATTGGGAATTGTGATCTGTTGTTGTTGTTGTTGTTGCGGTTTATTATTTATCTCTATCACAGCGGAATTGATGATGTAGTTTTATTCATTCAGATATTTATTTATGCGGGTTTCACCTGTCTTAGTTTACTTCCTTCGCCTTGCCCTGATGTTTCTTTTTGTCCTATGCGGAATATTATGTTCGCCTCCCATTCAAGTATCTACGGTGTTAACTTCTTCTCCAATCGTTTTCTTCAGTTCTGGTTCTGATCTCTCCGATATTCGATAATCGATTGAAAAATGTGCAGTTATCATCATGAATTAAGCTCGAAGTTGGCTTCCATGTCCCCTCCCCCGTCCCAATATACGCGTTTGTTCGCCTTCATTCATCCCCCGTGCTGATATCTGCCGCGTTTTAATTTCAGTAGGGGATTATTCTGTTGACATCTTGTGCAAACTTTGTATAAGCGCGTCCCCTCTCTCATTTTCATCGAGTTGGTTTCCGCGTGCAATTAGCATCATTCAACTCTCTTTTTCTTCTTTCTACCAAGGAAAAGGGGTAATGGCAAAAACAACGCAAACGAGGTCTTGTACTAGGATCTCGCTCTCTGGATTTTTTTTTCTGTCGAACCCTAGTTTTGCATCTCGCTAGCATTTGCAGGAGCGAGTAAGGTGAACATAAAAGGGGAGCATAGTTTAAACTAGATGAAATAAGGCATCCTGTATGTGGAATGGGGAAGGGAGCAAACAGTAGTGCCTTATTCTCAGCCACAAAGTAAGAAATTGAAAGCAAATGTGCCCGAGCTTTAAATTCTTTTTATCAAGAAGGACGAGATCAACAGAAAATAATCAAGCTGTTAATAACGTACGAAGTGATATTAACTGATGCGCATTTGCGCTTTTGGGCCAGCAAAAGAAATCATAGAGAGAGAGTGTGGATGATGCTCCCCTGGGCAAAATATTTGGATCTGTAGTAGTTACTAGTGGCAGGGGCAAACGGGCAGTGGTCCTGAGCATGGATCTGGGGCAAAGCTCAATTCGCAGTTGGCGAGTCTCTTATACCCCCGAAATGCCTCAATGGCAGCACTGGCAGCTTTGATTGAATTGAAATGAATCCGCATCTCAGTACTAGATTCATTCTCCACCATATCATCCCCGAGGTCGAAATAGACAGGAAGCTCCCTCTCGACGAATGCTGCAACGTCGGGATACCGCTCAGGGTCACGGGGGCCTTTGATGGAAATACACCTCGTGTGGCCACGACTGACCTTCCGTTCTATATCTCCTGACATTGGATATGTAGGTTGCTTAAACATTATGACCCTGGCGCGCTGATCATCAAAGAACACTCCGTGATTCTTGGAAAACTCGACGTATGCCTTTGCATCCTTCTCGTAAACGAAGGTGACAATCCCCATATGATAACCTGCAGCGCGTTCCATATTCATCAAATGGGCGGATAATATAGTGCCGCCGCGCACACCTTGAAATAGGTGTCTCAAGCAGCAGCTGAGTGGAAGGTTCGTGATGGCTACAGTCCTGCACCAATTCGCTTCCGACTTGGGAGGGTCAAAGAAGAGTCCATGTTGGAAGAGACCTGGAGGGTATTCGGAATGGCGCAGTGCGTTAAGGGCACGATTTTTCTGGTGGACGTTATCAAAGGGGGAGGATATGGGCAGTGAGTATTTCACTTTTCCATCCCATGGCGTTGGAGTTGGTTGACTGGCACTTTTTGTACGCGCTTCCCCCGGAACGACCTGCTCCATAAAAAATTAGTTCAATCTAGAGAAGGATTTAAATTCGAGCTGAAATGATATTTACTAATAGCAATGGCTTGGCCCTTACTCCATATGCTTGCGGGATATCTGTTGGTGATCCAATGCCTTCAAGTAGAGTCTTGGTTGTCCCTTTCTGAGCTCCATCGCCGTGGTTGCTCCAAGAAGATGCTTCTTTCATCTCTAAATGAGATTCAAATGCACGGAGGTCGTCGAGTGAGTATTCCTGGCTTGGAGTAATGGGCTCCTCTGATGGCGGGCTCAAATCGTCAAATAACGATGATTCAGGTCTCTGCCCCGGAGGGGACGATAATGAAGGAGAATCTTCTGCGACACTTGAGCGGCGTTGCTGAATTGAATATAATTTGAATTGGAGCATCTGGTACCGCAATTGAGAGGATATAACGCCATCGTCTAGTCCTGCTAGACTAGCGCCCCCTTCCTTTGGTTGTGCAGGCTTGGAGTTGAAGTTGAGCAACGACACAGATTCGGATCGAGCTCCAGGCAAGCTTTCCTTTGAGCCTTCGACCGTTTCCTCTGCGGACTTTCTGGGTTCAAGTCGATTCTTTCTCAGCTCCTTTTCAAGCAACGAGATGCGTGCATCTTGCTCAGCTAGTCGCCGTTGAAGAGCTTGGAGAGCCCCTTCTGAAACCGATTCCCAGAACAGGTTCGTTACGGTTGCTTTTGGCAGCGTACTGCTACCAGGGGTAAATGAAGCCCGCTCCACCTGGGAGGCCGACAGTCTTGACAGGCTACATACGGGGTTTTCCATTCCGGTGTTATTGACCAATAGGCCTCAACAACTAGAAGGAAGACAAAGGATGGCAATTGTTCAATGAAGTGCTGTTCCTGGGGTTTCGCTAACGGAGAACTGTAATGTTTTGAAAGAAAGGGAACCGAAGGAGATTTCCCCAGGCCACTATACAAGCGGCAAGTGTTATGTAGCTGGTGAGATCAGAAGTGAAAGAAAAAAGTGAAAGAGATAAAGAGAGATAAAAACTCTGTAGGGGAGAAAAAGATCGTAGACTGAAGAATGGATGATGAGAAGTTGAAGTGACAACAGCAGTGAGAATTAAGGGGCAGGGATGAGGCTGGCTGGTCACGTGGTACTGTCTCTTCCCTCTACTTCCTACTTCCAAGTATGGGCATTCATGCGGAATGAAAAGGAATTGATGAGGAGATGTAGTAGAAAGAGGTAGAATAGTCTAAGAAATAATTGCAGTTGCGATGAATATGGAATGTTGCCTCCTATCTGCTTTGCCCGTTCCATAGACCAGAGTTTTATGGTCTTCTCAATGATAGAAGAACGGTGCGAGAATTGGAACCCCCATTTCCAGCCTGGCTCTGATCAAGGAGAAAGAGACAGCAGAAGATGTACATGTCAAAATAAATTAACAAAGTATATTCATACTGACCAACCGGCGGATGAAAGAGTAAATCTAAAAAAATAAAAACTTCGATCTTGATCATAAAACCTAAGTCAAGGTCAACACCCCAAACAACGCAGGCTAAAAAAAATAGTAAAGGTTTCCGAGTCTCCCAACTCGCAACTGAGGGGATCAAAGAGTGTATATAAAATCGGGACGCATATCCCCTCTCATCTCCACCTGCTTCTCATCAAGCCCAGCCACCCAATAATCACGCTCTCCGCGCAGCCGTCTCCTGTTCTCCATCCGAAGGAGAACGTACTGTGCAATGCTCCCGCCTAGTTGGAATAGTAATAGATATCCGAGCACAGTGCCGTGGCCTGGGTAGAATTCCGGTTTATCGTCTCCTCTATAGATGTTGGATGTTACGCAGCCCTGCAGGTTCCCCCATCCAATAACGAAACCAAGCGTGACACCGCGTTTGTACACACCTGTATTGCAATTAGAATCACCTGTGTAGATAGAAAAACGGAAGGAAAAAATGGTAAAAAGCAGTTATTGGCTCCAAGGGAGACATTTTTGTACCTTCAGTATTATTGCTTGCCCATGAAATCGTATTTGAGATCGCAGGGTAAATGCCCATTGCTCCGAGAAACGTTCCAATGTACTTCACCGCTGGTGTCTGGGAGCCGAGGAGCATGCTGAACCCTGCGATACCAAACAACGACACAACCATGTTGCAAATGCCCCGCTGACGAGTGCGGTCCGCGATATATCCCACAGTGATTGTTAAGACCGCCGCAACCGCATATGGCGGAACGCTTAGAAGCTGAGCCTGAGTCGAAGAGAAACCTAGACGTGGTGTTAAAAGTACATTCGAAATTGATGGGAAAGAGTCGTAAATACCCTAATATTGATATTAGTTAAGTTCCGAAAATATTCTCCCCTCTGTATACACTGCTGTACTTACTAGCTCATTAATGATCGTCGGTACAAAAAGAGAGAACGCATAAAGCGACCCATCACAACCCATGTATATGATGGCTGAAGTATAAGTCTTCCAGTCTTTCACGCTGGCCCAAAAATACTCCATTCTGAATTTCTCCAATCCAGCGCTCGATTGCTTGTCGGAGGCCAGGCGACGGATCACCCTCTTGCGGTCATCCTCTGACAGGAAAGTTGCCTGATCCGGGAAATCCTCGACAACCCAGAATGAAACAACGCCAATGACAACAGTCGCGAGTCCTTCCAAGATGAAAATCCACGCCCAGCCTGGTCTCCCACCAACACCACGCATCTGGGCTATAGCGGCCGCAAGGAGACCGCCAAACGAGCCAGCAATCGCCGCCGCAGAAAAGAAAACAGCCATACGAATACCAAATTCGGATCGCTTGTACCAACAGGACAGCAAGTATCCCACACCGGGGAATAGTCCGGCCTCAGCGACTCCTAGGAACCATCGCGCTACCATGAGGCCAGTGAAATTTCGAACAAAACCCATAAATGTCAAGCAAAGTCCCTTAAAGCACACGAAGAATGTTAGTAGCGAAAATATTAGGCAAATATATGTCCAGATAACAGCATGTAGGGCAAACATACCCAAGCTATCATTATGGACGGAATAAACACACTTGGCCGAAACCTCTTGAGCAAAACGTTGGTGAGCGGCTCGAGGAGCGAGTAAGAGACGAAGAAGATTGTCAGCGTGGCATTGTATTGACTATTCGTCATTCTGAGATCGTCCTGTAGTCCATCTATTTTCGCATTTCCGATGTTTGACCTGTCCAAGAAGCTGTTCGGATATTACTCTGTTAGCAAGTAATACCCAACCATGGCGATATCCCTGAGCAAAACATACCTTAGAAGATAGAGAAAACTGAGCCAAGGGATCAGTCTCCTATCCAGCTTTCGCACCAGCTTCTTATCCTGCATATCACAGAACTCCATGTAAGCCAAACAGGGTCGATTTAATCAAGTACAATAGTTGGACACTACTCCGGTCACATACAATTGCTGCTCTCTCCTCATCACTCAAACCAGCGTCTGGGTCGTCGACTTCAATGCCAACAATCTCCCCATGGGGTTTCAATCCAACATTCTCCTCCGATTCAGACTCTCTCGTGTCAGCTTTCGTATCGAAGGTCTTTCCTTCGTTTTTCTCCATCGAGAGAGAGTATCGTAGAGCTACACAATCCAATGCAATAATAGGGGAAGGAACGCAAAGGGGAAAAAAAGTGACAGGGCAAGAGATAAGGAAGAGGAATTACCCCCAGAGTATAAAACAGCAGGGAAATGTTAAGAAATCTAAACGGAGTCAGTCGTAAAGCGGTCCCTCGTTGCGCAAGCAAGGATAAACAGCTATATATTTATTTATGCTGTCGAAAGCGCGGAGGTGATTCCACACACAATCGTCCATGAAAGACACCTCCCTACACGCCCTCCTTTCTTCCGGTTCAGCAAGCCTATTTGGAGAGAGTTAATGAGGTTCCAAGATATGAAGGCAAGATAGTGTGCCATATTCAGTAATGCCTGCCCCAGAAAAGGGCTAGACTCGAAACTCGCTGCTAAATCAGGACGTCCATGCCACGGATGCATTCCGACAGCACCCAGCAAAAGTTTATCTTCTAACAAGGTTGCATCCAGAAATGATTCCGGCAAAAGGATCACCAGCCTGCAGCGATGATCTCCGCCGGGATGCGTGCGACAGTGATATTATTGTTGACTTTGCAACGCTACTGACCTTTGAGCCCGTTGGAGGCGGCCGGGAATACCTAACCCTAACCAGAAGTAGTCTTTGTGCATCTTTGCGAGGTTTGGCCGCGAATGATCTCTACCAAGAGCGAAGGCGGAATTACCAAAGCTTGATTCAACCGCCGAACCCCCGGCCGGCTACTCCGGGGTTTTGTGGGCTTGAAGGCGCGCATGAATCTGGGGCATCTGGGGTGTGGGTAAATAGAGTGTGGCGATGCATTTTTTTTAAGTAGCGGATGATGCAGCCTCAAGTATGGTAGTGGTTAATATTATTTGGTCTTGGGTGAGTTTAATTTAAAACTTAGAGAGAGAGAGAGCCGCCTTCGTCTCGACATGCCCGCTCGATCAGCTGAAAACTTCGTCCAGATGAAAGCATAACTACTCCGTACGGAGTACACTGTCTGGCAATCGTCGCTGATGCTGAAATGATGACCCCCGTGCGATGACCACTCGCGCGTTGTTTCACTCCTCCGCTGGTGGCGGACTAATCGCATCAGGAACCATGGAGCCTGGCTACTTGGTTGAAGGAGGAAACTATCGAGCTCGTGGAAAATATAATTTGGCTCGTTTCGATCGTCGGCTCCAGGGGCGTTTTCCATGTTTGAAGTCAGCGGCGGGTTTATGTAGCTTCACAAACAATATTTTATTTATATTATATAGACACACACCAATAGTTACAATATTTTAGCCCTAATATAGTCAGTATATTACTATATATAGTTTAGTCAGTCTTACCTATGCGCTCCACACAACCTCTCAACAGTCTCAGACCTCAGCCATAATAGAGCCCCCCGGGTATAGAGCCCCCTTCAGATATAGAGACTCTCAGATATAGAAGTCCCCAAGTATAGAGACTCTCTGATTATGGAGACTGGCCTGAGTATAGAGAGTGTCTCAGGCAAAGAGACTCTAAATAGAGACTCTCAGAGCTAGAGCTCTTATACAATCTCCAATGAGAAGATCTTGTTTGCTAATACAATCAGTATTGTTGATATGTGCCAATTGTAACATCGTCTAAAACGCCTATTTAGATGTATACAGGGTCTCAAACAGGCTTTTACCAATTACATAGCTTTTTTGTAATATACAGTAACTACATCATTGATCAGAAGAATTCTTTCACTACTCTTAATTTGAAATCTATTATGATTATGATTCTTTGATATCTCGAAACTAGACTGTTCAGAGAAAATTATCAAAATCTGATTAAATCTAAGTGAATATAAAGACAATCTTCATACACTAGAACTTAATATCATTCTATCTATTGATTAACCCTCTGTAGCTAAGAACTGGCCCCAGAATATGAATGTGATCAATAGATTATGATAAAATCATTTTATGATAAAATCAATCGTATGATGGAGGCATGATTCAATATTAATCCTGCAAGTTGCAACCTTCGTGTCTCATTCCCCCACAGCCTTCCATGGACAGCACTTTTACCACTACGCTATCCACCCCACCACAAACCATATAACTACTTACTAAGATACTTGTCCTCTTTGACTTGCTCCCTGGGTGCTGGCGCCACCTCTTTGGTTAATAATGAGGAAGATGAGAGTTGCCATATGAACTTCCATTCCTGGTCTATTTGCAGGCCTCCTCTATAATTGCCAGCAGCGCCTGGCGTTTATTTCCCCTTCTTCTTTATTCAGCAGCTCACCGATTCCCGCATCGGTGATATTCTCATAATTCAATTGGAACGACGCTGTCCTCTTTAATTCCCCATTTAGGTCCGCTGGATTATCGCCCCGGAGATAGGATCCAAGGATGAGTATCACCTAGGAATGAGAATATTCGAGAGGCAAAAGAGTAGGCGTATGTTGGTGTTGACAGGTCCAATAATAGGCAGTATTACGGCTAAGAATACATAGAAGACAATATTCTGGGTTGAATTAGCGTAGAGATGGATATTTTTTATCAATAGTATAAATAACAAACAAGGAGTTAGCAAATCAAGAGGCGAAGGGGGTTTTAAATGGACAGATTACGCTACAAAACCGTTGGCCCGATAATATTTAAGTTAAATATTCGGAACTAGCCAGTCAACCTGCAGTGGGAAATTATATCATGCACACAATGATAACTACATAGCTTCAAGGACTTCATTTCATGCTATAAACTTCAAAACCTTACCATAAAAAGAAGGGAAAAAAAAGGGAAAAAAAAGTATAGCTCTCAACCGCCCTCTCCTTTCCCCCCCTCTCCTCGGGTTTAACCATCACATGAATAAATAGACATCGAAAGTCTAGCCATCAAAGTTCTGCGAAAAGAGAAAGCTCTGAGTCTCAAAGATGATAGAAGGTTATAATCCCCCCTGACTTATAAACCCAGTATGATCGATAATCTTCTCGCTCAATATCCCCTGAGGACAAATGGTCGCAATGAGTCTGACGCCATCGATTCGTGCGTGTGAGAGTACTAATAAAAGACCGTGGCTCATGTTTCGTCATTGATGCTCGACATGGCCACTATCGGTTGTATGGTGCTCTACACCAGCTGCATGGACCACCCATGTTTACGGGGATGAACGTGACCCAGCGGTCAGGGCAGGGCGTAGGACAAGGGCCAAATTTGGGACCATAAGTAATATGAGTACAGCTGTAGATATATTGGAATTGAAAGCACATTGTGCGTGCAAAAAGGATATTTCTGCGTATGTTCCGTCGTGGCTTGTTTGTTAGCCCGTGTAGGTTTGATTCAGCACTGCGCTTTACAGGTCCACTTTTGTTTCTCTAAGGACTGGGTGACACCTACTTGTATATCACACTGCGATGTGGATCGGTGTCCCAGGGGCAGTGGTGGTGATATGCTACTGTTGCGATGGAGCAAGATGTTATAGACGCTCGATGGCACGCCAGTCCCGAACGGGTATTGAAAATGTGGAAAGTGTTCGAGTAAAATAGGCCGGTCTTCGATGCCGCAGAGCAGACGGCTTCGATATAAACATGTAATTCGGTAGATAACGGAAGCACCGATGCACTGCTAAAGAAGCAAGAGCTTCTTTCTATCAAGAACACGGTGTTTGGCTGATGATGGGCAATATACAATGGTCTTTTGGGTCAAACAAGGCAGGTCAATGGTGATGAGGAAACAACTGAATTGTACAAAGAAAGTAGTGGGAGGATGCAAGCTAGAAAAGTATTACAGCTTCTCCAGCATGCAAAGTAGTTCATCAGGGTAGCTTGTTGCAGTGCAGAGATGTGAAAGAAGATGTTGTAGACAAGAAAGAACAAATATTCAAAACTGATGTAGGTTCAGTTCTTTTTACAGGGAAGGAGAAGAGAACAATGATTACAAATTTCAATCAGGTCAGTGATAACCTGTTGTCAAATTGACCGAAAATGTATCCTAAAGGATATCTATCCTATATAGGACCTAGCAGTCACGCTCCAGCATTCTGCATGCCTGTTTAATCTGAGTTGAGACCTCATCAATCTAAATGACAAAGGTGTAAGTAAATCCCCATTATACCCACTCAAATGGATCCATGATACAGTACATGTAAGGAGAACTTACATATTCATCTGTAAACATGTTAAAGTGGTGGCCAGGTATGCTCAAGACTGTGGGCGTGAAATGATTTGGATACTTTTCCCAGCCCAGAATCCGAAGTTCGCGCACGACATCGACCCTGCAGACTGCATCCGGTAGGTCTGGCCTTGACACTGGAACGTAGTCGTCACAACGAAGGATAATCGTTTTGGGGATGGATGGAAGCTGGGTGTCGATGTTCGATACCGTCGCCCCGTTTTCCGGACTCCAATTCATATCAAGGTGAGTCTCATCAGGTGCCACGGCCTCAGTTGACGGTTTCGAATCAATCAAAGAGAGCTCTTTCTCTAATTCAGCCCTTTTCAGAATCAAATCCGAGTCGCTACATCCACTCCACACGGGTGGAATCCAGTTATCGGCCATAGGTTGAGCCAACTCCATGCATTGGGAAACAAGTCGGCGGGTTTCGGGCCGGGTATCTTTGTTAAACACTGGCTGAGGGCCAACAACATTCGATTTGGCTTGCGAAATCGCCAGTGGGTAGATAGAGTCAACCATGACCAACCCGACAATGCGGACCGTGGATGTCCTGAGCAGGATGCTGGCCACTTCCAACGACAGAATTCCGCCTAGTGACCATCCTAAGTAGAAAGTGTCAGAAGGTAAACAACGATATTGCAATCCTTAGTTTATGGGGTTGCTCACCACCCAATAGAAGCCGTCCCGATGGCACAACTGAAAGTATCAGGTTCGCATACACCTTAGCCATTTCCGGGAGTCCATGGTCCCAAGGCTGGCCGGAATACAGACGCGGGTTCTGTATACCATAGACTGCTCTGTCCAGGGAATCTAAATAGCAATATGATACGGTTGTTCCGCCACCGTCGTGAATGAGTACAAGGGGTGGTGCTTTCTCATGCCCAGGCGGCGCAGGCTGTATCATATATATGCAGTCTTTCATGGCTGTGTTTATGGCATGGTCGGGGTGTTAGAAGCGTTGACCAGGATCGCAGTTGAAGCTTCAAAAATTTAGTTCATCGCCAACACATCAGGCGCGCGGGGTAGGAAACAGCCCAGTGCGACGTGCAAGTGACGGTCTTTCGAGGGCATGCTGCGAAGAATATCTCGATTATTTTTAAGCGCGGCTGACTTTTTACCTAGAAAGTCAATTAGTGTTTTTGAGCTTTTGGATCTTTTTGCTTCTATAGCTAATAGACAGCTAGGCTGCGTTCTGGTTGAGTCAACATATCTACTAATAACAATGCTCATGTACATGTACATACGCACATATATATAACGAACGTACGTTATATCCTAAAAGCTATTTGAGAAATCGAAGAACGAATACTGATGCTCAACAGCCTATTTAATGCTAAGTTACCGATGCCTCACATACAGAAGACGATTTGAAAAAACATCATACAGGTCTGAAGCGGGAGTGTAAAGGTATAGACTATAACAATCACCGCGGCTAGATATTAGTAGCGGGCGTTTCCACGGATGGTTAAGATCTGTTGAAGCTCTATCCCGGATTCAAGGTCCGTAGGCAATATAGGCCTAATCAAAATTTGTGCTCAGGGCTATCTCCTCCATGGCATCAAAATTCTGCTGAAGCGACATAATCTTGTCCCGTGTCCTCTGCACACAATCAGGCCCCAATGGGAGTCGTAAGAAGCCCGTTTCCCCATCGCCCATGCCAGTCCCGTTGATCACATCCATAACTCTCGCGACGGCCTTGACGGGATCCCCCGGCTGTTTGCCATCAAGGGTGAGGAAACGTTGCAGCGTCTCATGCACGGGCGTGCCTTCGTACGGCTTCGAAGTTCCACGGCCGCGGGGGTTTGGATCGCAGCTGCAAATTTTATGCGGAATGCGTCCGGCTCAACGATGAGAAGCCGAATGTTAAAGGGGGCGAGGTCACAAGCGAGGGACTCCGATATGACTTTTAGGTTTTGTATGTTAACGAAGGTTTGTTGGGCGGAATTGGAGATATCATCCGCCTATTAGCGACGTACCTTCAAGAGCAAACTTGCTACCCGCGTACATAGAACAGGCCAAACGCGCGTCGAGGCCGGCGATGCTAGTAAAATTCACAATGGTACCTGATTTGCGTGCTCTCATTGACGGAATGACTGCCTTCATCACTCGGATTGGGCCGTAGACATTTGTGTTGTACTGCTGATAGATCTCAGCTTCGCTATTTAATTTCATCATCAGCGCACCCGTTGGAATTTTCGAAAAGAATAGATAGATCATTATGATAATAATTTCATAAACAACAAAGTTTTCGCTGTTGGGAATATACAACAGTTGAATTCCATCTGGCCACTTACCTCATATCCTCTAGGGTCCCAAGAAGGGAATATCCAGCATTGTTGATCTCAACATCAATCCTGCCGTACTCCTGTATCACTCCCTGGACGTTCTCCCCCACTTCGCTTGTGGTGACATCCAACTGTAGCCATTTCCCACCAAGCTCTTCAATCTGTGGGAGCTCTCGTCTAGCCTTCTCTGGGTTTCTCGCCGAGGCGATGACTCGGTTGCCTGCCTTCAGTACCGCTTCTGCAAGCGCAGATCCAAAGCCGGAAGATGCGCCGGTGATGAACCAGACTGGAGAATCAACCATATTTTGTGATTCTTTCTTTCTTTCTATTTCTTTTTTGGTCGTGATAGGAATTTTCCATTTGACTCTTTATGTGGGTCTGTTTTTGGCAATAAAACGCAACGGGGTGTTTGGAGATTCGCTTTAAAAATCTAGCTAGAAGAACAGCTTCTCTTTTATGACATGCTCGGGAGAGCTTCGTTTCGGGAATAAGGATAACTGCGAGCAGCAAATTCCGGCCTCCATCGCCTTGGTAAGTGGTATATAGCCAAGAGATGACCAGCTGGACATTCGGACATAGCGGACTTCGGCGGGACGAGAGTTAGTTTTGTGGAGGCTACGCATACAGCTGGGAAGCAGCTTGCAGTTGAAAATCAAGGTTATACGAACAGGGAGAGAGCCAAGTTGATGGGGAGGCAGAGTTTCTGATTTCACTCTGCCCTAGCATACCGGACGCAACGTCATCAAGGGTTAGATGGCTGGCCCGCCACCAAAATTCGCTGTCGTTCCGATAATATAGTGCTGTATAGTGCTGTATTTCGATGTGCCTCTGCTGTCTTTCATACATGCAACGGATGAAAAATGGCTGGAGTTAGTTAACTACCGGGGCCTTGGATAGAGCAATATTGGTGGATATTAACTAACTTATTGATAGTTAAATATTTCCATAGCCTGGATCGAAGAAAAGCTTAACAATAAGAATTAATCAATAGTGTTAAACACCGGACCGAGGAGCATTTTTGTCAATGCGATTCCGCAAGGTTCAACGGGTATCCAGGGATCTCTATCAAATCCATCTGTATGTAACTAATACTTCAGATATTACTCTGCTTAACTTACCTATTTCAACCCCGCGCCAACTCCACCACCGAGGCGCCATACAGACATCGTGACTTGACCTCAGAATAGGCGCTACAGTATTTGCATCATCATTTCGTCAACATAAACACATAGCACTGTATTAGCACTGCAATAACAGAGAAGGCAGTAATGGCTTCAGCGCAGAACGATTTCGAAACGTTCGCTCTCGGCGACTGGAAGCTTCAGAGCGGCGAGGTTATCCCCAATGCCCATATCGCTTTCAAGGCGCTGGGCGATCCAAGTCTCCCCGCAGTTGTCTACCCGACGTGGTTTTCTGGCCGTACGTTTGTTCTATAAAATAAGTTATCCCACAGCAATGAAAATCATATAAGCATATCCGCATATGCTAACAGCATGTATTCTTATCATTTTCCCATGCAAATTAGTTATCTCCGATAACCTCTGGCTGGTTGGAGAGGACAAGGAACTCAGCCCGAAGAAATACTTCATCATCGTCCCCGCGTTGTTCGGGAACGGCCAATCCACGTCGCCCTCCAATTCCCCTGCCATCAAGGAGTTCCCTCGTGTCTCCTTCTACGACAATGTGAGGGCCCAGCATGAGCTGGTTACCAAGCATTTTAACATTACCCATCTACGCGCCGTCCTGGGCTGGTCGATGGGTGCGGCCCAGGCATACCAGTGGGCAACCCAATATCCAGACTTTATGGATTTGATCGTTCCGTTCTGTGGCTCTGCGAAGACCTCGTTGCACAACCAGGCTTTTCTTGAAGGCATCAAGAGCACCTTGTTAGCGACCAAGGGCTATCGGTCTGCCGGGGTAGGAGAGGTTGGAGCTGCGGTTGCCAACGATTCAATCCGGTCGTGGACCCGGGAGGAGAGAGAGGTTGCGCTGAGAGGGTTTGGTCGAGGGTATTCTGGCTGGTAAGTGAGAAGGAAACCGGAAATACCGTCTTGAGTTGCAACGGATGACTGATTTTTTTTTTCTCTTTACCCAATACAAAGGGGAATGAGCCAGACATTTTACCGGCAGAGGCTGCATGAATCCATCCTCGGATTCAAAGATCTTGAGGACTTTATGGTGAATTTCTGGGAAGCTTTCTTCCTAACTAAAGGTCCTCCACCACTGTAAATAAGTGGTAACAGCTGGTGTCAAAGAAGACCGAGTTGACCATTCTATAGAGCCGGAGAATCTGCTCGTCATGTTACAGACCTGGCAAAATGGCGACATCTCCAAGCAGGAACGGTACAACGGTAACTTTGAAGCTGCTCTGAAAGCGATCAAAGCCAAGGCACTGGTTCTGCCTAGTAAAACCGACCTCTACTTCCCGTAAGTACTTATAGGTGGCACCCCAATTCCGCACATCGTCTCCTTTCGAGGCCAGCGGCTACTGACTACATCGATGGACATTAATGCGGGACAGGCCTGAGGATTCGGAGTACGAAGTCGCAAACTTGCAACCTGGAATTGGGGAGCTGGATGTCTTCCCATCCATATGGGGACGTAAGTCATCATCATCACCCAAGGCCCAAAATATCGGATGTGCAATGCAATATGCAGGCTGACCATATAAATTCAGACTGGGCCGGCGCACCGCCAGGTAACAAAGAGGACATGATGTGGCTGAATGACAAACTGGTGCAATTTTTCAAGGCGGTTCCCAGTGGTAAATAGGTGATCTATTATGGCCGGTATCTCTGGAATATCCTGGGCTCACAATTCTGTTTCTTGCCTTGTCTTTTGCAATTCTTCCATGGTCACAACCGAATTTGTTAACTTCAGTGAGTAGCCTAAATCACATGACTTGGTGATGCCCTAATGAATTTCTTTTCTTTTTCTTCTTTTCTTTTTTTATCTTTTTCTCTCAAAAAAAAGGCAAACGTCTTGTTGATGCGCAAGATCGTTTCAAGAATCCAATCATTGTCTGCCTTTCGGTCACTAGGTTATAGTTAGTCCGGCTAATCTGTAGAGGTGAACAGAATGCGTATGCAGCATACGCAGCAGTTACACACTAACCTAACTACTCTGCGGCGTTCATATTCCAAAAAGCCTGAGATGAAACGGGATGGAGAAGTCCAAAGCGTTGCAAGGACAGCTGTTTGGGAGCGAGAGGAACGCAAATCAGACAATACATATCCAAACGCATCCGTATTTATATGCATCTCCCTACAGGATAGAGCAGGAGAACCACAGTTCAATCCTTACCTTTCATTGTTCAAGCAGCTTAAACCCGCAGAAGACAGACCGATCTCGGATGATATAACTAAACTAAGCTTTACGAATGCCCCGAACTCTCTCCACTTCCTCCACCGCCCCGCCTTTTGGCGGCGGAATAATAAATACCTACTCTCACCCGCCCATTCTAGGTATCCTCTTCCTTATAGTATTTCTTCAATTCGTTGAGACATTTTACTCGGCAGTTGGTTAGTTTGTTAGTAGTTAATCTGCTATCTATCTACCTATTTATATAAAAATTCCTTGTACTGTACCATGACCTCTGCTTTTCCTCCGCCACCAGTCGACTCGATCGGTATGTTGTGATACTCTCTCCAAATGCGATTCGCATTCTAGCAGACAATGGTTTGGAAGGGGATCTACCGCGGCTAACAGAGCGAACCCAATTGTCCAGACTGGAATAACGTCGGCTTCAAAGTCCGCGAAGGTATGACTGACTCACTGACCCACCCCATTGATGCGTCGCATATAAACAACCGAAAACCCCCTCTAATAGCCCGTCTCCCAACAGTCAACGGTCATGTCGAATCGCACTTCTCCCACTCCTCCAGCCCGCAATGGAGCCCCCCGCGCTTCGTCGCATCCCCCTTCCTCCCAATCCACGGCATGGCCCCAGGCCTAAACTACGGCCAACAAGCCTACGAAGGCATGAAAGCCTTCCGCCACGCACCCTCCTCCTCCTCCCCCTCCGCCCACGGGCGCATAACCATCTTCCGCCCCCAGAAAAATGCCGTGCGCATGCAGCACTCCGCCGAATTCATCTCCATCCCTCCAGTGCCCAAGGAGCACTTCATCGAATGCGTCCGCCTCGCCGTCGCGGCCAATGCTGAATTCGTACCCCCGCACTCCACGGGCGCAGCGATGTATATCCGGCCCCTCATCTTCGGCTCCTCCGCCCAGCTCGGCCTCTCCCCGCCGGACGAATACACATTTGTCGTCTTCGTTATGCCCACGGGCGTCTACCACGGCGTGCATGCCGTCGACGCGCTGATCCTCGAGGACTTTGACCGCTCTGCACCCGACGGGACGGGCTCCGCCAAGGTCGGTGGCAACTATGCGCCCGTCCTGCGGCATAGTGACCGAGCACGTGCGGAGGGGTACGGCATCACGCTACACTTGGACAGCAAGACGCGCACGGAGATCGATGAGTTCTCGACCTCTGCGTTCATCGGCGTGCGGAGGGATAAAGGGACGGGCACCATCACGCTGGTGTTGCCGGATAGCAAGAACGTGATTGATTCGGTGACGGCGTCGTCTGTGTGTGAGATTGGGGCGAAGATGTTTGGCTACAAGGTCGAGCGTCGGCGGGTTGGGTATGAGGAGCTTGTGGAGTTCGACGAGGTCATGGCGGCGGGGACGGCGGCGGCGCTTGTGCCGATTAAGAGCATTACGATGAAGTCGAAGAATGATAAGTTCACTTTCAATTCTGGCGAGGGCGATGAGGGTGGCGAGATCTGTAGGAAATTGCTGAAGACGCTCAAGGGGATCCAAACCGGGGATATTTTGGATGACTTTGGCTGGCTGGTTGATATCGAGCCTGTGCCTCAGGGATGGATGGAGGAGGCCATAGGGAAATAAATTACGATGCTAATTTCCCTTAGTTTCACGGTAATTTCGGCCTTGGTGGTTGTGTTTCGTCTGGGTGGAGTGACAAAACAACACGAATTTGAGATTTTGGTACCTTTTAATTTAATTACCAGTTAGAGAAAAGTGGGAGTACGAAATACTATTTTTACATGCCGGGCTTACCAATGATGAACGAGAAATGAAAACCCAACTTTCGAATAACTAACAGCTTAAGCCGGATGTATTTTTTGGAACCATGTGCCGCGATCTGGTTTTGCAATTTTGCATGAAGTTATTTACCTCCCTACCTACATATATTCTTCAAATGAACTAACTAGCTAATTCAATAGCTATCAAATCAACTTGACGTAGAACAACTATCATACACAAACCACATAGAAAGAGAAAGGGAGTAGTAGAACAAACGAAATCGCCTACGTAGGTCTTCCTATGCAGGCTCCAGAATTGGGAGACGCAAACGCTTTCAAAGGCCCAATCAAACAAAAGGGCTCAACAATCCTGTTGCACCGCCCTCATTCCCATTTCACCGATTGGGACACACCCCCCGGGTATCACTTCCCTTCACGCCCAACATCTAAAAGCATTCTTCAAACCCGGGTAGCGGATATACTCCCATGGACAGGAATAGGGGGATTGAGCGTCACGGAAAAAAAAGGTAAGGAGGGGGATATTGAAGACAAAGAGGAAATGGAAGACGGGAAAAACATACCGAAATCAGTCGCTTCAAATTACAAGAGTTCGCTTGCTATCATAATATCCGCAGTTTTGCTCCCTCTTAACACCAATCACAAAAAGCAAATAATCAGATAATCAAATAGATAATTCACAAAAGTCCCGATCTACTAGGAGACGAAAAAAAAAAGCAGAAACCGAAATTCCTGCCTGGCGGCCAGGGACAACACCGTTTAACTGGCATTTGGGGTAAAAATTCGCAAATGGAAATAGAAGAAAGGAGAAACCTCCATAGCAAAAATTACCGAAGCCCAGCCCTGCGGAGGAGGACATTCAGACCGCGGAACCCGTTACTACCACCACCATACTCGCCCTGCGCACCGTCACCATTCTCAGACGCAGACATGTTCTTCGCACTACCCTCATCCTCACTCCCCTTCTGGCGCTCTAAAAGCGTTTTCAACGTGTCGCGTGGAGCACCACGGACTCCGCCATTCATAGGTATTCTGGACGTTCTCGGGCTGCTAGCACCACCAGTACCGGTACTACCAGGTGCAGGCTGGGAGAATGACGTTGGCGCACCGAATCCGGTGGCAGCCCCTTTGGGAGTAGTAGTGGTGGTGTGGGTATTTTCTGGTTCTTCCGATAACCACTGAGCACCATTGTTCGGCCAGGTTTTGTTGATACTGCGGAACGGCGTGACCAGGGACCTCCGCGCTGAGCCTCCGGGAGGAGGCAAGGAGGGCCGATTGCCTATATTGGCGTTCGCTAGGGTGAGGTTGGAGTCGGATTCTGAGTCGGTGTCAGAATCGGAGCTGCTGGAGTCTGATGATGACATGGGATCTCTGGCGGGAGATTTTCCGTTGCGCTGTTCTGGTTCCTCCGAGCGTTCTTGCCCCGGGGAATTCGTATTCATGTTATTCGGCTCTCGCTCTCGCTCAGGCTCTACGGAATGGGGTCTGTAGTCCGACCGGACGCGCTTAGTGTTGTCGGGCGATTTGACAGTGCCCGATTCTGGTCGTTTTCGTTTCAGCCCGTTTCCAACCTTAGAGGTTTTTGCCTCTTCCACATTCTTTCCTGGGATTCCATTGCCCATTCCTCCTGGTGATGGGCTGATAGCCACAACAAAGTTACCTGTGGAAGGAGTCTCAAGTGAAGGGGAGACTAGGGAATCCCCGGGAGCAGGAGTATCTGATAGCTGTTTGGCGTGGGGCTTCTCGCCTTGAGACTCTTCCTCCGAGGTACCATCAAGCCCAGTTTGGTGCTTCAACTTCTTTCTAGTCCCCTTTGGTGTCCCCATCACATCCGTGTGGTTCTTGCTTCTTTTCATACTTTCGTCTTCTCTCCTATGGTTATTCTCAAGATGACCATCCCCTGAGCTACTTGCCGCATGGTGATCCTCTTCAGGATGACCCTGAAGATTTTCCTTGGCCTTGTTCAACTTCCGCTCGTACTTGGTAATTTTAAATCCAATCTTCTTCGAGTTGGCATCGTACAACTTCTCCGTAAAATGCTTAACTTCTTCCAAGAGCGCGCAATAGCCTTGGCTCTTTCCTTGGAGCCTTGCTTCATCGATTCTCTTTTGAAGCTTAGCATCCGTACGCTGCCATTCAACCCACTCCACTGTTGTTCCGGGTGGATACATGGTGTTGCCGATTTTCACCGATGAGGCCGAAGAGGGAGTGGGCTGCGAGTCAACTTTTGGATCGTCGACGAATGAAACAGAACGTCGGCTAGATACAGTTCTGGGCGTAGATTTTTGAACTGAACGCAGTGCCGACATCACAGGCGTACGCGGATCGCCCGTGCTGCTTTTCTCGGATTCTAGACGGGAACCCCGACGCTCCGTTTGACTTTGGCTTGCTGGACGCGGGCGGGGAAACGCTGGCGTGGTGGACACACCACTCCTGGTGTTTCCCCTGGCATCAGGAGCAACAACTGGCTGGCTCGTCGAAGGAGTTCTTGAGAGTTTCGGCGGTGGTGACGTAATTCCCAGTTCGAGCTCCTGTGCACCGCGAGGGCGACTGGGAGAGCTGTGAGATGGTTTCTCGGGAATGTTATCTGGATCCGTTGTCAATTCAAGGGTGCCAAGGCTGTTATGAGTCTGTGAGTAGGGCGCGCTGCCACTACCTGGAGTTTGGCGTCTCTCAACCGGCGAAGAGGTCGGCTTTTGTGTAGGCTTCTGGGGGGTCGCGATTTGAGTATTTTTCTGCGCCCTTGAAGAAGACGCTCCGGAATCATCCGGGATATCGCTATCTGAGACATCGGAGTAAATAGGATTGCTATCTTCAGCATCCACATGTGATAACTGGTAGGCATTGGACCTTTGAGTTGAACCTCTTTTTGCGGAGTTCGTGCCATTTGCGCCAGTCGATGCATTGCGATCTCCTTCATCGTTATTTCCGCCATCGATTACATTTCCTCTAGGTTGGGAGGTGTCCCCCTGCTGACCACCACTGCTCCTCTCCGTGTGTTGTTTGGGCCGATCGACAATTTCAATATCTGAATCGGCGATTACGACAGAGATGCTCTTCTTTGCAGGTGCTTTCGTAGTACCGGTCGAACCTGGGGTGGAAGTTTTCGCATTCCCAGGAGGCGCAATCGCGGGCTTAAGTGCCATGGATATTCTTCCGGGGCCGCGAATATTTGACTTCCTAGTCCCACGTCGAATACCTGATTGATTTTCGGTGGTTACATTATCATCCCTTGGGCTCTGGGCCTGATTAGTCCGCTTATCCTCACCTACATCGCTATCAACGATGATCGCGTTGTTCGCTCTATCTCCAGGGGACACAAGTAGAGTTTCCATATTGTTTTTTATTGTGAATTCATCAGTTCGACTTATATTCTTTCGTTGTCGTTTGGTAGACTGAGGCTTCTGAGGTGTTTTGAACTTCTCCTGGCTAGTGGAGGGAATGGCATAGATGTCCACAGCTTCTGCTTCTCTCTTATGGGATGTTGTAGCATTCAAGTTGCTGTGTGTCGAAGACGTGGAACGAAGTTTGTGGCTGGGAAATGAGGACTGCGGCGCCGCCGAAACTCGTGGTGGGGGCATGCTGGCGCTCAGCAATTCCTGTCGCTCTATCCCTCGCATTGCCGCTTCATCTGGTAAGGGAGACAATGTAAGTTAACACCTATGACAACCGTAAGGGATATCTGAATGATAGTGTAGGACTTACCCTTAGCATTTGTATATTTCAATGCATCGTGAATAGTACCGCCATAACCTATATCTTCTTCCTGGGTAGTCATAACGGATCGACTAAGGTCTTTCGGCATGGTGCATTCATAGTTGCGTGAGTCTACATGTAAAAACATAGAGAGTTAGCGGGTACTGTGGTACAGGATATGACAGTGTTCAAAAGAAAAGAAAATGTAAATATACCCAGGCTTTTGCCAGCAGAAGAAGCGAAGATTCTGGGTTTCTGCGAGTCTTCCACCAAAATAGGCGACGCATGGGTATGGTTATCATATCCGCTGGATCTTTCTTCACCAATCTCGCTGGACTGGGGTACATAGTCAGACTCTGGAACCTGCGCAGCATGCGAGGGGCCAGCGACAGGCCCCCCTCTGAATCCAGTATGTATGGGACGATCTTCGTGACGTAGCTGATCCAAAAATAACGGCGGAGAGGGACGAGCGTAATTGCTCGCTATAGCACCCCAATCCTGGACCACAGACCCATATCGCTCCGGGCGCCCAGGCTGTTGGATGACCCGTACTGCCCCTCTCTGATCTAGGCCGTCGGCAAGAGCTTTCCCGTTGTCCACAAACACATCTGCCACTGTCAATGCTGCATCCAGGGTGTCCTCCGGGTGCTTGTCATCTACGAGCTTCTTTATTTCGAGCGGTCTAAGTGGGGGATCAAGTCATGGAGGACTGTTAGCCGAAACCCAGTACTCTCCTCCTCGACTACCCAATCTGCAGTGAAGAAATATCAACTCACCCAGCGTCAGGCTGTAATGTCATCCATTTCTCCCGTATCATATGAGCCAAATTCCCCAGCATCACCCGTTCCGGCTGGTGTACCGGTAGGAGAAAGTTGATGGATTTGCGGCCCTCATTTTCCCCAGCCTGATTTGGCGTAGATGGCCGACCAAGCTGCTCCCGGGGGTAAACTTTGACAGTCAAACGGAGAAGCACCATTGTCGCAGTGCGAGGCGGGGTGCGGCCTCGCTCCTCACCCCGTTGGTGTGTCTAGTAATAATTTCCTTGCTGGAGGGATGGGAGTTTCGCGCAGAGAGGGGAGTATCCCAGATTGGGTTGTTGTTGGCTCAATGGCCGCCAGACAAGGAGGTTTACGAAGCCAACAAAGGCTCAGCGAAAGAGAAAAAGCGTTCCTAACACACGAATATTGAATATGATGATGGAGGACGCTGGCTATGGGGCATGCGATCGGACAGCAAAGGGATCCTCGCAGGGATTAACGGCGAGAGCTCTCAAGCTGCTTAGCGTGGAAGAGGGGGAAGGAGAAAAAGCGAGAAGAGAACACCTGAGACGTGAAGGGCGACGAGGACAATTGCTATCTCAAGGTTGTAAATGAAACGGAAGAAGTGGATTGGGGAGAAAAGAGGGGCAATGCTGCGTTGTGTTGTTGTTGTACTGTAGTTAATTGTGTTGTCTCATTAGGTCAACTTTAGAGTGCGCGCTGTGAACATCGCGCGATCTTTGCCCTGGCAATTTGCTCACCCAACACCCACGCGTACGGTAGTTAAATGACTGCTGTCTGAGCACCAGGCCATTGCAACCACCAAAAGCCATTAACATCTCTGAGTGAAAAGTAGTTCATTTTAAGCCTGGGATAATTATTGAGTAATTCTACAAGCTATGCTTCCTATATTGTGGGGAATTACACTCTAGGGAAGGCCTACAACTGTCTTTTTACCTCAGTTTGTGAATGGAGGAGTAAAAAAAAGGGGGGGGAAGTACCACGTATTTCCAATTCTAATAACACAATGTAAAAAAAAAGCCTCCATCATGTCTCATATCCTACAATAAATTTCCGTTGACGAAACAATGAAAAATGAATATTCTATCAATACTTATCGTCTAGATTTCATAATAATCGTATCATTTGCTGAGAACAATCCATCCTGTTTTAAATAAAAGAAAATTAAAAAAATAAAAAAATAATAAAAAAAAAATCTCTTACTTCTTCACACAGGCGGTGTGAAGTAGCGCTTGAACCTCTCCACCTTTGTTAGACCCAGCTGCATAACCACCCAGTGGCAATTAATCAGCAGGCTGGGGAACCGCACAGCCCAGAATTGAAGATAGCCCACCGGTAGCCCTCCAATATGAGCCTTAAGATGTTCCGGCATATCGTTGTAATGATTACGTTTGTTCCGAAGAGCGCGCAGAAGGTCAAGCATCTTCGACCCTGTGTACTTCCGCTGTTTGCCAAGGCTGTCTTTAAAGTCCTTTGGCAATAGTTTGAGGAAATCCATTTCCAAGCCCATGACATCCGGAGCGACGGATTCAAGACAGAGAAGATCTGCGGATGGAGGGTCGCGTGGTTCGAACTCGAAATGGTCTGATACATCACAGAGGAAGCTAAGGCGATCCGCGGGCGGCCAGAAGAAAGGATGCAGCATTACGGTGGTAGCATCAGGGCTAAGGAAGCATTCATTAGTCACTTTCGATCAATTCCTCTGAGGTTGGGGATTTGGCTATATATGAATTGAAGAACCTACCGACGCCGTGGATCCAGAGACAACATTTGCCGGATCAAATCATCAGCTTCGAACGCGTAGTCTCCGAGTTTCTGCAATTCATCCAAGTTATGATATCCTTTGACGATATTCGCCTCGCGCATGAATTTGCCGTCCTTGTCAAATGGATGACCCCCACGAGTTAACACGTAGTAAAATACACATCCCAGAGAGAATATATCAATGGCACGTGTTGCCCTTCGGTTTGTTTGGGGATCAACGACTGCAGGTTCCGAGGAGTCGGCGCTCTGATTGTCCCAGGTTGAAATGTTTGGAACGGTTTGGTCGTCGTCAACAAGAAGTTCAGGAGCGCGCCAACCAGACGTCCCAGCAGCGTGTGCAGTAGTAGCTCTGAAAGAACTTTGATTATCTTCCAGCTTTTTACACAATCCAAAATCGGAGATCAGCAACCGAAGAGAAGTCGAACCCGTTCGGGGCTTGGGTGCGGCCACGAGGATATTTTGGGGTTTTAGATCGCGATGGACAATTTTTAGTGAATGGAGATATCGGACTCCAGCGGTGATTTGCCACAAAACATCGGGTACGTCGAGCCCTCCGTTGACAAGAGTGGGATAATCAAATGGCTTTTCTACCACTTCCTGTAACGAAGCGGGACAGAGTTCCAGTCCAATGTATAGAAAGCCAGCGGTTTGCTCTCGACAGAAGTATCTAATGACGTTCTTATGGTCATCACTTTCCTGCAGTAAACCAACCTCGTGAGATGCAATATCGTAGAATTCCACCAACATCCTTTTGACTGCCACATCACGACCATCAAACGAGCCTTTGTAGACCACGGTGCCATGACTACCATGGCCCAGAACTGTATCTGTATGAACCTTTAGTTGGCCGATTCTAATTGACCCATCCATTTCCATCAGCTCTGCTGAAATAGTTCGCGAAAGTTGCCTCTCGAGCCCTGGCCGCCTCACGATCTCAGTGTGGTCATTTTCGGATGGGGGCTCCGTGGATGTCCTACCATCTGCGTCTTCATCCTGTTTCTGGTTCCGACTCTTCTTTCCACGTTTATGCGCCACACCACCCCGCTTTCCACGGCGAGCCTTTTTCTTCGCTTTCTCCGGCGTTTGAAGCAGGGTTAGCTCTTCAACGTCGTCGTCCTCATTATTATTTTGAACAGGTTCCTGGATCCTGACTCTAGGTGTTGAATTATTATCCTCGATTGGATGTTGTGACGTCGGTCGACGCATATTATCACCACCCTGGTCGAGGGTTGGGACGGTGATATCTACAGTAACGCCAGGTTCAAGTGCATAATCCACGTCATTGGAAGACGGCACCTTATTCACAACAAAACCCGGAGGAATTCGCGGCGTTGAGGTGATTATCGGTGTAGAAGGAGCCGTGGGCAGAGTCTTCCCATTGATAGAAATGACATTTTTAAGATCAAGTTTCTGTTTCGCAAGCTCCTGTAAATTGTTTGAGTTGAAGTAAAGAAATGTCCCAAAAGTGAGGAGTATTAGGGTAACAATGACATCAACGACATTGTCCCACCCTTTTTGAATAAGATGGCCAGGTCTAATGGTAGGTAGGGGAGGTGCTTTGGGTGGAACTCTCGCAATATCTCGGGGGGTATCATTCGACAAGTCGGCTGGGGGCCCAGAGATACTAGGAATAGTTCGCTGATATTTGCCTGACGGCTCATTGAGAGAGTGGACACCAACCAACGCAGCCCTTTGTTGTGCAAGGCTGTGGCTCATCAAAGGTTTCTCGCTGATGAGGTAGTCCTTTTCGTAGCATTCCGCTTGTCTGGCACGTCCTGTGACAAGAGGATACGTGGCCTCCGACATGGCATACCAGCCACCATTCTCCGTGCAGTTTATGAAAACACGGGACTCTCGATCTTCAGGCGTATTAGCGCCAAAGCTGTCATCTGGAGGAATAAGTGGTTGGGCAAGGAGAACAAGGGACGTGTCTGGCAAGTCAGGGCGAGCAGGGCGGGCCACATCAAAAACCCGCGCAACAGGAGAAGTAAATCGTTGGGTGTAACGACGTCCGTCCACCTTTGAATGGTCGAATCCGAAGACGACACCGTCATGCATGCTGTAGATGTGTCGTTTGTCCATTGTTCGGAAATATTGGCTTTGGAGGTCAATATCCCGATTGTTCGGGCCCCATTCAGAATATTTGATAGTGCAAATGGGATTTCCAGTTTCTGTATTTTGAATGGTCACCATGTACTCGAGCCGGCCAAGGGTGAGCGTGCCATTCTTTGTTTCACATTCCTCATCATCGAGAACCTCTAGATCATTGACACGACGGCAACTCTGCTCTGCTGCGGTGGTGGAACCTCGAGAACTGAAGACACGAATAATGGCGCCGGTGCGAGCATCTACGGTATAGAGGGTTGTTTCCTTTCTAGCGGTATAGGTAACGGGAGGGTCGATCCCGGAATATGGAGTCTCGTCAACCAAAGCTTTCACGGTCAAACCCAACTTCTGGAGACCTCCATTGGGGGCCTGATTGTATATATAAAGCTCTCCATCCCGGCTGGGTTCTACAATCCAAATAAAATCATCCTCCGGTTGCGCATCGGCAAATCCAGACCGGTTGGACTGGTGGTAGATTGTTTCCACCATTGGACTGCTTGGAACCTCGAGGGCCCATCGTGGGGCCCCTGTCTTTCGATCCCTCGCGTGGATGGTTCCATCGACGGTCGCCAAGAGGACAAAGTCCTCAACCTCCCAATCCTGCAAGGATCGCGCTTGGAGCTGCGGAACCGGACCAGCATTTGAGCTGGCCTGGGCAGGAGGTGCTCGAACGGCGGGGCTGGTGGCCGCCAGAGCAACAGTTGCTACGGCGCTCGCATCGTTGGAGTTTGCGAGTGAGTGTGATTGAGCGTGTGGTTGGACGTAGGTGTCTCGGAAATGAGGATGTAACGGTTCGACATCGTGGGCAAGAGGCTGCTGCTGCTGAGCGGCCAAGAGCGGGAGAAGGAGGAGGGCAACGCTGGTCGGAAGAGGAGAGCGGGCACCAGGCAGCCGCCAAACCATGGTGGAGGCCTACAGTGGTGGTAAGAGCAGGTCAGAACGTTCTCTGACTGATTGAGGCCGCAGACGATCCGCCAGGCCCGTAGGTGACATTAGAAAGTGGATTCAACCTCCCGCTCCAGGAGAGAGGAGGGCGAGTCGGGTGGTTACAAGAGTGGCTCTAGAGAGATAGAGAGAGGGAGAAGGGGAGAGAGGGAGAAGGGGAGAGAGCGAGAGGGGGGGGAAAGAAAGGAGATTAATGAGAGGAAAAGGGAGAGACGGAGACGACCAGAAGATGGAAACGGATGAAACTGAATGAAGATGGAACAAGTCTGCTTCTGGTCGAGCGGAAGTTGGGGAGGAAATTGGCTGGGCGGGACGCTGTTGTGGACGAGTATTACTCAGCAACCCCAGACAACAACCACGACATTGGCTGCAACCTTGGTTCGGGGCAAAGGACAGTAGCTGCACTGTTAGTTAATATTGGTATTTCCACTACGAAGCATTTAACCAGATAGCTGAGGGTACAGGAGATTGGATCCACTGTGTACAGATTTCCCAACCAGTCCGTACAGAGTCTATGTAATGAATAATGTACAGTACAAGGAAGCCAGCAAGTTGTCGCATTGTTGACTGCCAAGAACTTGGAACTTGGAAATACTTGGCGCGGCCTATGATTCACCGCCTTGAAAAATATCCAATAGCTGGCCTGATGGCCCGCGGCAGAAAAACAATCTCGGTCAACCGCTTACACTATCTGGTCTTTACTTCTCTTTGTTTAACATCTGCAAGAACAATCCATTGATGGGATTGCTGGCCTAGCCATTATTTCATTGTCTCCTTGTTCTGACTGCACCCTCAGTGTATTCACAACCAGCGTCCAGGCTACCAGATATTCTATTCTTTGGAGTTATAGGGATGTTATGCAACTCTTCTACGAAATATATTGGGCAATTCTGTATCTCAAGCTGCAGCTGAGTTTAGCGCTTGAGATGTTTCACATTTAATTGGGCAGCTCAGACCATATTTCGAGGCAAGCGCAAGGCTAAAAAGGAGCTCAATTTCCTATATGTTGAAAACTAGGCGGGAGTTGGGACACCATCGTTGGAATCTACCACCATGGTGTGGATAATATTGAGTTAGGCAGAGTACAGGCGTAGCAAAATTGAACAATCCAACATATATATATATATACCCGTAATCCCATTATAAGGTAGCGTTCCGTCAGACGGCGTCAGTATCTACTGGCAGCAGTATATATGAACTCATGTTGTTGAATAGACCAGTTTGTAAACTGATATTGTGTTGCGACCTGAATCAGCCGTTAAGTACCATCCAATGCCAATTTCCAGATATGGGTACGCCGCGCACGGGTGTTCACAGGCATTATTTCTCTAGCTACCATAATTATGAGGTAGCTCTCCAATTGTCTCAGGGTCGAGGTTCATCATATTAACTATTTCTCTATTTAAGGGAGTAACGGGACATGCTTTTTGATGGTTTTCTTTTTTTTTTTTTGTTAGGTTGGAAATGATGGTGGCCAGGCCTTCTCGTTTCGCTTCTAACTGGGGACAGGGTCTTAAACATTTCGCCATTTACATGCGTTCTCGCTTTCGTGGAGCACTACGGATGATGTTGTCTACCCGGAGCAACAGCTGTACAATGTGTATTGATGTTAGCTCATACGCAGATATGGGGAAAACGGAAGACGAAAGAATGACAAAGAGATTGCTTAGACACATACCTCTGCAGCCTCAGATGCTGACGACACAACTGCTCGTTTCAATTTGTAGCTCTCCACCACACCTAATTCCCGCATGTCTGCAATTCCACCGCCAGGGGTCAAAAGATCCAAGCCTGAGCTTGTCATACCATTATTGATGGCTTGCCTCAACCTCGTGATAAGGTCGCTCGAATCCAGGCCAGCATTGCTTGCAAGGATGGTTGGGAGTTGTTTGAGAGCTTGGGCGAACGCATCGACAGCAATTTGCTTTTTCCCAGTAGTGTTTTGCGCAGTTTGTTCGACTGCCTTTGCCATCACCATCTCAGCAGATCCGCCACCTAGAGTCACCTTTGGTTCACGAACTGTCTGAGAAAGTACGGCAAGAGCATCGTGTAGAGACCGTTCAGCTTCATCAAGTAACTGCTCCGTAGCTCCTCGGAGGACGATAGTACAGGCTTGGCCGTCCGCAACACCGGAGAATTTAATCAAGGTATCCTCGCCGATGATAACTTCCTCGATAACATCGCACCGGCCCAGCTTCACCTGCTCTGGATGGTCAAATGTTGATGTGATCTCCCCTCCCGTCACTAGCGCGAGACGCTCAATGCCATCAAAATCGGCGTGCTCAATAGAAACAATGCCAGCATCGGTAAAAAGTTGCTCGGGCCAGTTGTATATGAGTTGACGGTTCACGAAGCAGTTGATTCCATGGGATTTAATCTTCTCTACCTTCGCCCGCATCTTCTCGCGTTCTGCCTTCTCCAATTCTGCCAATTTCCCTGTTGAGTCCACCTTGACCCGGGCACCAAAAATTTTGATTTTATCAGTGTCCATAGCGGTATTGGCGACCAAGATTTTCGCATTTTCAAGTCTCTTAGGTTGGTTCACACCAATCTTTTTGTCCAAAATGAATCCCTCGTCGAGGTACGAGTCGCTCAGCTTGCCACCAGCCTTCTTGATAATTTGTATATGACTTAGATCGGTAGACCCCTTGAGCCTGAGGACTGCATCGCAGGCTAAACTTGCGAACTGATCCCGGTCTTGACTAAGAACTTTCGAGCTGAGGGTTGTGCGAGCAATGGCGTACAAGTCCTTTCGGAAAGCAACAGGGTCTTTACTGTTGTCCACAGCTGTTTTCTCTAGGGCTTCGAGTGCCGCACGACTCGCAATCCTGTACCCTTCGATGATTGTCTGAGGGTGTATTCTCCGTTCCACGAGCTTTTCCGCCTCCCTTAGAAGCTCCGCAGCGAGCACGGTGACAGAAGTGGTTCCATCTCCAACTTCATCATCCTGCACTTTTGAAATATTAACCAGCACCTTCGCAGCAGCATTGTCGAGAGCTATAGCTTTGAGGATTGTAGCCCCGTCGTTTGTAACCATGATCTCGCCAGTCGAACTGTTCGATTGTTTTTGTTATTGTCGTGCCCCGCACTAGAGTTGGACGGTAGATAACATACGCTGATTGCAGAATTTTATCCATTCCCTTTGGCCCCAGAGTACTCTTCACAAGATCGCCCACCGCGATCGCACCCACAAATGCGGACAAACGAGCATTTTCGCCTTTCTCCTCCGTAACATCTTCGGCAAAAATCTGCGTTGGATTATTGAATGACGCCTGGCAAAGGTTAGAATGGAAACAAAAGAGCAGGTATAGATCAAGGAATACGACAGTAACAAAACATACCATGATGAAAAGGCAGAATCGCAACTTAGATCACGACAATATAGGTTGCTGCGTTCAAAAGTGTTGCCAGGACTGCCGCAACAAGCAAATAATCCATGGACGAATGCTCGAGGTTGTTCTTTGTAACTTAATTGTACTGCGGAATTCTTAGTCAGGGTGGTCCGAGCTGTTGGCGCGCGCTTGAGCCTTTTCGAGCACATTGGACAAACCTCCATCCCAAGCAGCACGGTACGCCGCAGCAGCCTCGATCCACGCGCCTCTGGCTTATTTGGTTATACTAGCCTTGTAAACCTCTTGTTCCTCTGATGCGGATCCCGACAATGGCTGAGCGAGAGGAAGAAAACAAAAGCACAACCTCCAACAAGCGGCCTCATTCCCAGCTGGAGGACGCTCGAATGAATGGTTTGTTTCCTCCGATATGAAATATAGAACGAGAAAAATGTAGCTGACAATGGCGCATAACAGATGAATCCTCGTCATCAGAAGACGATTTTGGCCCTGCTTTACCTTCCGCCATACCCAAAAAGAAGCGACGAAAGCTACCCTACGAAAAGGTCTATGTAAATGCTCTCCCAGTTTCAGCCCGATATTCAAAATCCTTAATGCACAAGGACCAACTCTCCTTCGTTACCTTAACTCCTCATACCGACTTCCTTATTACGAGCTCTATTGATGGGGTGGTTAAATTTTGGAAGAAAATGCCTGTTGGTGTAGAGTTTGTGAAGGAATTCCGAGCCCATATTGGAGAGTTGAAGGGGGCGAGTGTGAGCCTAGATGGGAGGAGCTTCGCAACAGTTGGAGTAGATAAAACGGTTAAAATATTCGATGTGATTACGTTCGGTAGGAGCTTCATTCCCCCCCTACCATTGGACATGCTGGAAAGTTTCGGCACTAACAAGCTGTAGATCTCCTGGCTGTAATAACATTGGATTATGTCCCGAGGTGTGTATGTTGGGTACATAAACGAGGCGCATCGTTGCCTCTGTTGGCTGTGAGCTGCGATTCTAGTAGCGGCATTATGATTTACGACGGACGAGGAGAAAACCCTCAGCCCATCCACACGTTAACATCAATCCATCGGTTCCCGGTTGTCGCCATGGCCTTTAATGATGCATATGACTGTGTGATTTCTGCAGATGAAACCGGCATGGTCGAATACTGGCGACCACACACTTCATACGAAAAGCCAGACAATGTGTTTGAACTGAAATCTTCCACCAATCTCTTCGTTTTCAAAAAATCCAAGTCGGTTCCATCTTCCATTACGATATCCCCATCAGGTCACCAATTCGCGACTTTCTCCTTTCCTGACAGGCAGGTCAGAGTATTTGACTTCCCAACTGGCAAATTATACCGCTCCTATGATGAATCTATTACGACACTCACCGAAATGCAGCAGGCTGGAACGGCACTCTATAAGCTCGAGGAAATCGAGTTTGGGCGGCGGATAGCAATTGAGAAGGGACTTGAGAACCCCGCTACTGCGCCGAAGATTAATGTGATCTTTGACGAGTCGGGCCACTTTGTGATGTACGGCTCTATTATGGGGATAAAATGCATCAACACATTCACAAATCGCGTTGTGAGAGTCTTTGGTAAAGATGAACCATTTCGTGCTCTCAACCTTGCTATCTATCAAGGGCAACCGCAGAAAAAAGGGGTGGTAACAGTTTCGATGGCCGCCAGTGCAAATCCTTTACTCCAAGAAGCGGAAGAACGGGATCCTATGCTTGCTAGTACCGGCTTTGCTAAGGTCCGTTTCTATCTCTTCACAAATGAAACGGAAGTTTCCAAGTCCAGTCGAGATGTACAAAATGAGAAGCCCGTTGGGACGCGTGAAGATACTGCCGCTACCGCAGCCAAACCAGCAGAAACAGGCACAGCTGCAGTGCTTCATACCACTCTAGGCGATATCCACCTTAGGCTTTTCCCTTCCGCAGCTCCCAAAACCGTGGAGAACTTCGTCACCCACGCACGCAATGGTTACTACAACAATACTATATTCCACCGGGTGATTCGCAAATTCATGATCCAAGCTGGTGACCCGCTTGGCGACGGTACAGGGGGTGAGTCGATTTGGGGCGGCGAGTTTGAAGACGAGTTCTCGACACTTCGTCACGACAAGCCGTACACGCTCTCGATGGCGAATGCCGGCCCGAATACAAATGGAAGTCAATTTTTTATCACAACCGAGAAGACACCATGGCTCGATGGGAAACATACGATATTTGGGCGGGCGGTTAAGGGGCTTGACGTGGTACATAAGATTGAAAACGTCAAGACGTACAAAGAAAAACCAGAGGAGGAGGTGAAGATAGTCAGCATAACCATTACATAGAAATTCTTCAGTAATAAATAGTTCTGCGAACTCTGATCTTGCAATGCAGCCTTCTGCACGAGCAAGCTCTCTCTCTCCTCTTGAATGCTCAATCTGACCAATAGAAACGGGATTCGCGGATATTAGATATTCAGGTGTTCTAGATATACCTAGGCATAACTATGCGGGATATGTATGTATTCCATGCCTGCATGCGTGTCTCCAAACACCCAATTGTTTGCGTGGGGGGGAGGTAATAAATAAAAAGGGTTGATGTGGCGGCCATAATTGTCAAGCAATGAGCACGGCCAAACCAACCAATTAAGCTATGATAAACTCCGGATTGGAGCGGACAAAATTGTTAAAGACAGGTTATTCCAACAGTAATCATATCGACGTGGGACTCCTTTTGATAAACTCATTTCGATGCCCGCGCGATTAACTCTCCATCTGAGAAGAAAAAAGTTCGCCGGTTTCACCTATCTTCTTGTTGTGAGTTGATCTTCGCAACATCAGGCTGTCTGTCCCCTGGACCCAACTAGGCGTAAAAAACCCATGTCTTTCTTTTCAACTTGAGGCTTATGTAGCAGGCACTGCAATATCATAGCTGTTCCTTTGAAGGAGATTGTCCTCGCATATTCCTACTCCTCGGATGTGCACGGGTGAATTGCCCAGGCTCTGTCCCTCTGTGTGTTCCGGCGGAAGAGACATCGTTTTCAAGACCCTTGGTGGGTGGATGTGCAAGATGTTGCTGTGGACCCCATGTATCGTCTCCCAGAGCTGCTGCGACTAAGTTTCTGGAGGTTGGTTGACGGCCGCTATAGTTGCTCCGGCCGCCATCTCCATCAGCCACAGCGGATTGGGCTGGAGTGAAAGGCGCTTGGTAAGCCCGCTTACGCTTATGACGACGTTTTAAATAAACCAAGAGGAGAGTAAGAGCGGTAAATCCGATGGCTAATACAATTATCATTACTACCCACCGCCAGTGGGTGGAGAACCTATCGGAGTTTAGTGGACGAGATTTATATTGTTCGACACCTTTCTATTGTTGTTGGACGCATCTTTGACAAAAGTGAAAGAAAGGTCGAGGAATGGGAAACGAGAATGCGAACAATCGACATACCAACTTGGCGGGGCTTCATAATGCACTTTTGAAGATGTTTCGGTCCCAGGATCCGGTCCCGCATTGGACGACGTCGTGGTGGATGTGGCGAGTGTTGTGGTTGTTTGGGTCACTTCGGGGTTGCCTGTTGCACAGAGTCCTGCATACCACTGTTGCAGTGTATTTAGCTCCGCCGGCGGACATACGGCGTCGCAGACTCCATTGGGAGAGCTATGGAGGGCCTGTAGGAGGCTGGATTGGCAAAAGCACGACCTATAGGTGGCTTGATCTGTTACCGGCGCTGCTGGAGGGACGCAGTTCGCCTGTGCCTCCTGGAGCAGCGGACACCCAACAGCGCACTCAGGAAATGTCGCCGAGCCGGTAGTTGGTACAAGAGATTGACATACAACCGACGTAAAAACGACAGCGGAGAGAAAGAGGAACCTGCTCATAACGGGCGTGTTTCGATGCCATAAAATAATACACATGGATAATAGTAGGAGGGAAATAAGTCGGCTTCCCTCATTATAGGGCATCCGTGATCTTCTGAGAACTGTTAGGGTGGCCGTTTCCGCGCATTACCGGTGTAGTTCCCGTGGAGGAAGCTAGGTTCGAGGCACACACATTCCTGAGTGAAGAGGCATGGTCATGGTTAGAGGCGAGCACATTGAGCTGATGGACAATATCCGGGTTCGGGAGAGATGACGATGTTTTTTGTTCGATAACCACTGGCTTCGAAAATTCAAAATTGACTTTTGAATGGAAAAAGTTGATTTAAGCAGTCTTGCTTGTGCCCTCTTCGGCTTCTAGCGCAACTCCAGATCTGAGGTTTGACAGCTCTATTCTGTAGTTGGTTAATATTACAACTCCTGAAGCCCCGGACATTAAAATTTTTTTGCATATGTTATTCGTATTAATTATTGATTCAACCGAGGTACATTCCATGTATTATTATTATTATTAACGTGATCAACCACTCAACGCCCGCTTACACCCAACACCCGCCATTTCACCATCACTATGATGAAATATTTTCAATGATATCTCAACAACACAATTAGATTTTAAGGTGATATATTATATGATGAAAATATATATAGAAAATTACACATAAAAATATACAGCTAATTCTGTAGATGTTTATTTAACTTAATAACTTACTCAGAATGTGAAATCTTTGATAAAGACAGATTGTAAGAATAAGTACTCACAGGCGATTATTCGGGTGTTTGCAGCTTGGTGTGATATGTACTGTTAACTACTAGAAGTGTTTATGATAGAAAGATAAAATGTAGAGATCAAATGTATAATAGCATTCAAGCTGAGTTGTGAATAGTATTCACAAACTCCAGTCTATATAGTTGTGTGTAGCCAAGGGCCACTAGCCCTATTAATTACATGAGAGATAGAAATAGAGATAAAGAATCTGTGAGAAGTGAGATTTCTTATATATCTCTTCCTCTCTAAGACTTCATCTGTGAAGCCTTTCACTGAGTGACTTTATGATGTGGTTCGGAAGAACGTACGACCGTCGGATAATACCGCGGCCGCTTCCGAACTACTAGCGTACGCGTACAAGTGTAAAGGGGCCATAGTGGCTGCTAATTAAATTAGTGTATGATATTACAATATATAAGAAGCCGGTGTACACCTGTAATTGTATGCTGGCTTAAGCAATCTTTGAATCACATCTGATAGTATGTCTAAAAATCAGTGAGAAGCACAGACTTCTTCAGAGTATGATAATTTCATCTATAAAGTGATTCATAGTTATCATATCAGTGTGATTCTAGAATGTCTTAAAAGATAGTATATAAAGAGCAGTGAGTGAAAGAGCATCTGATTAATACTGCTTTACTTATTAAGAGAAAACTTCATACTCAGATGAATGCCATGTATATGAATAGATGAGATATGAGAAAAGAAATGAAAGCAGTGAATCAGATTCAAAGAAGATCACTCTTCACTCAAAGAGATAAAAGA